GAGTGTAATTTACGCTACCTAAAGGTACCTGTGTGTAAAAAAGGAGGATGAGAAAATTGGCTGGAGGTAGGTATGAAAGGAAAATGTCTTCTAATTTCCTCTGAAACACAATATGATAAGAACATGTGTTGATTACACAAAGGCCACCACCAAAATACTCCCTTATTCAGTTATATTAAGAAGTAACCCTGGAAGAACTCCTCTCTGCAGTTGAAAATTAGGTGTTGCATTCATTCTAAAAATATGAACTCATGAAAGGCACCTTTTCAAAACCCGATCACATTAAGGGACAAGGACATCATTTCATTTGAAGTTCTTTGTAAGTAAGTAGACATCACAATCCTGTTACATCAACTGCTTAAAAATACTGTGTTTGAGGGTATGAAGTGCCAAAGAATGGAATCTATTGTATTCCTTAAAAAAAATTAAAAATAAAAAATTGGTGCTGACTGTACCAAATACTTAAAAAAACCCAAACAACCCCAAAACACTCCAAAAAAATCCTAAAACACACACAAGACATCTCTAAAATATCAAATCTCACTATTCATCTTTATTATATATGGGGGAGGAGAAATGCTTTTTGTCCTTCTCGCTATGAAAGAAGCTTATGCGGTTTACAGACTATGACAATTTAAAGTTGACTATGGCTGATATAGCCCACAATTGGTTTTGCTAGGATAATCTGACTTGCAGAAGAAATACATAGGATGCAAAGCAAATCACCTTAATTCCATCAGTTATGGATGTATAGTGATTTACACCAGCTGAAAATTTATCCTGGATTTTTTATCTACATGTTTTCTTTAGCTATTAACATGAGGTGTAAGGTTTTGTGTGGTGTTTATACACAGTGCAATAAGAAGAATTATCACACAGCAGTGTTATAAATACTGCTGGAATCTTTAAAACTGACTCAATTGAAATTTTACGGAATGCAAGAATACAGCAATGTTTTAATATTGCAAAAGTGATACAAGTCTAAAGACGCTAACTGAGCGAATATGTATTTTTGCAAGATTTTTCAGTTGGGGAAAAACCAGAAGCAGTAGGGTGAATTTCTGAACCTATTAAGCTCCTGTCAAAATTATCATTAAGTTCATTTGTACTGCACGTGGCTTGTAGGAATTATTTCTGTTACAGATTTTATTTATGATAGCTCCCAGAACATGTCTGGTCATTTTTACAAATATTTGCTTTTTAGTAGGGTAATAGTCTTAATTTAGAGGAAGTCCACTGTTATCAGACTGACACATATGCATGTGTGCATATATGAATGTGTATATATATGAGAATATGAATATCTATATTAATCTGTCAGTGTTATGGTTCAGTTATTTTTGACAGATTTATTGATTGTGTCTGCTGCAAGCACTGTTTTTTACTGGAAATTGGCACCCACAATCAAATGGGAATGATGGATGCTGTAAAAATTGCAATTTTTCAATGATTCTTGTAATTAATCCTTTGGTATTGACAGCTTCCAGGAGCTATGTTGCCAGGAGTGGTCTTTATCACTGGACAATTAAGCAACTGGCTTGAAAAAAGTAATGCTGTTTTCAGAAATGCCATGTGACATTTGAAAACAAATGGTTCTGAACTGGTTTGTTTTTTTTTTTATTTTTCTTTTTTAACTTTGGTTTTGTCTTTGATTAATACTCCAAGATGTGATTTACTTTAGGTAATCTTTGCCTGCTTTCACTGTTAGCATCTGTTTATAGGAGTCTGTTGCCACACATGAGCCCACGTGTGACGCCCTTGCTCCCTGTGCTCAAGGTTCACCGATGATGGTGTTTGGCACTTAGGCCTTCCTGGTGGTATTAATGTGACCATGTTTTTTTTCTTTTGATCCTTGCTACCCCCCTGGGAATTAACATGGAACTTGCCAGAGTTTAAGTCCTTCAAGATCTCCTGCTATTTGTTTTCACTGTAACTGTTGTTGGCGTCTCTGATATTAAACGAACTTTTCATCGTGTTAATGAGTCCTGCTTCCCCTCTACCCTGGACTGCGATCTCTCTTTTGTGACATCTCGTTGTAAATGGCTTTGGAGTTATTTTTATTTTATTGGCTCATGTGAAAGGGTAGAGCTCATTCATTTTTAGCTGCTCTGTGAAGAACAAATGCACTGGTTATATAAGTGGCCCTAGAAAATAAGACAACGGGGAATGTCAGGGAAGTCTGTCTAGAAATATGCTGCATAACCAAACTTTTCTAAATGAAGCACTGCAGTTCTGCAAGTGAAATAAAGCAGTTGCTGCTAAATGTGTACTGTAAAGACAAATCTTATAATGTTCTTCATTTTTTGAGGTTTCTTTGCATTAATTAATATTAGGAGAAACCAAAGTATTTTAATGTGACCTTCATTTGGCATTTGTTTTAACTTTTCTTCTCCTATTTTATTTAATTCTTCCACTTCTGTTGTTCAATTAGTGTTTGACCCCTTTAGCAGAGATGTAAATTAAATGACATTTCAATGCCATCCCATATTTAAAATACTGTGTTAGTTGTGGATCATAAAGGATGATCTTCGTTCTTTAGCTAATTTATTCATTTAACAATTTCCCTCCAGAAGTTCCAGCAGAAGGCTCCGAAGCAAACTAAGCAGAAGAAATCCAAGTCGGCTGAATTTCTGATGGGTGAGCCTTGCTTGATGAGTTATTGCTCATAATTTGTGTAAGGATTAATTAACTAATTACAGACAAATGGCTGTGGGCGAAATTTTGCTCTTGCTTGTCAGGGTGCAATTTGTAATTATTTTAATCATTTATTCTTTTTTTTTTTTTTTTTTTTTTTAGAGTTAATTTTAACCTAATTCTGTTTTGGCGACATTTGAGGACGATACACTTGAGTCTTTCAGCAAAGGAATTACTAGAAGGAATTTTCTGCTTGTCATTGAAATACACTTTGCTATAATGTGCTCTTCTGACCTCCTTGTTTTCTATAGTAAAAGAAGAGAGAGCAGCAACAGAAGGCATTGAAAATCCAGCTTTTAACATCAGCAGCACAGATCTTTCAGCGTATCAGCCTTCAGAAGAGAAAGTTATTAGACATGACAAGCCAGATAGCACCCTTGCAGCTCACCAACAAAAACTCAGGCTGCAAGCCCATGCTGAACCAAGAGGTGAGACATCAAACCTGATTAACCTCAAACGCAGCGACAGCGCTTGTGTTCCCCGTCCAACCCGCACGCTCCGTGGCCTGTGCCAGGCGTGTCTGTCCCAACGTGTCCAAACAGGCACCCCTGCAAGCCCTGGATGGGAAATGAAAAATACTGCAGACAACTCTGGCTGTCTAAATATTTAGATCCTCAGATTCTGTCTCCGTGATCAAATTACTGCCCATAATGGGGGGTGCAGGTTATGTGGGGGTCCTCCTTCAGCAGGGGCGTGGGGACCACAGGGAGCAGGCTCTCATGACAGTGTTTCCCTGTCATTTGTGTGTGTTGGATTGGGTTTGGGAGGCACTGTGGATGGCCCAAGCACACAGATACTGCTTCCTTGCTAGCTCCTTAACATTGAGTAGTTTTAAGCATTTTACAGGTCCATGATTGATAACTATCAGTTGTTGTCCTTAGGTTGTCCTTAGTTGTCCTTAGGTGTCCCATATTCCCTCAGTCAATCAGTATCTTGCCTCTGCTTTGTCTTTCATTATTGTGTTGAGCCACTGTTGCTCAGATGCTTGGAGCAGAGAGTTCTATTTGCTTGGCTTGGCCAGGGGAGCCATCTTGACTCATAAGATCTGCTTTAATGCAGCACCCAAAAGAGTCACTGCTTCAGGAAGCAACTTTTGTTTGTTATTTAGGTTTATTCAAACAAACTATGAGGTTCTTCACTGATGTCAATTCTCCTTTTGCAAAGGTTTGTTATCTTTTAATCTGTTATTTAATTATTGCATTTTGAATTATTATTATTTCTGAATTTTATGATGAATGGTTATTTTTACTTAGTAATCCACTGATGAAGAAGGTGAAGAAAAGAATTTAAAGGCATTTTGTGAGCTATATGAGGAAGATCTTGGGCCAAGATTAAACATTAGAACAAAAAGGCTTGAAGTCAGACTCAAAATCTTCCCTAAATATCCACAAAGAGCCCCTACTGTTTTGGTGTGTGTAGTCTTACCAACTTAAAGTGGACTGTGTACATCCATGAATATGCAACTGTGTATCCAAGGATCAAGACCTCCCTAGGTGCCAAAGTAACTGGTATGGCTTTGAAATGTCCTGGTCACCCAGCATTTCCCATTAAACTTGCAAGTGTGGATGCTGCTCGTGAAATACCTTTGTGTGCCAGATCAGGTATTTAAATAGGGAAGCGTGGGCTGGTGAGCAGGACATCAGGCATTTGCTTTTAAAGGGCTAGACCTTGTTGTGTTAAGATTTTATCCCTGTGAGACTGGAGAGCCCATGGCTCCTAATGGCCCCTTGCAAAATTAGGTTTGGCTTTCCATTTAGCCTCCATGTGACTCTCTGCAGCACCAGACGGAGCAGGAATTCTTCGTCTTTCCTTTGCAGCCTGTCAGAACAGTGATTAAGCAGACAAAGGGATTGATTGTTTTTTAATGAAATAGTCTATCTGGCAAAAAATGAAGTCGGGCTTGCTGGAGACTATCCACGCTTTCAACTTGCCTCTTCAGAAATTCATGAATAGTTCCCTCAAGAAAACAACACATTTTTTTTTAAATGCCTGAAATGTGTTTTTAAACATTTTGATTTTTCATCCTAAGTAGCATTTTGTTAAAAAAAACCCTAACTGAATATAATCTTTGTGAAATGAGTAGAAATTGTTACATTTTGCCTGGAATGCAATGGCTTGCTACACTGCTAACTGTTTCTGTAATGGGAGAGGAAATCTTGTTGAGACTTGGAAAATTTTGTTTCTCAACACTGTGTCTCCCTCTTTGACCTTCTGTTCATCCAGTTAACCAAAAGATCAGTTATTCGTGTAGCTCTCCCTCTAAGTCACGTAGCTATTAAAAAAATAATGATCCATTTATACCATCATAAAAAGTCTAGATTGGAAGAAACCTCTAGAGATCATCTGGCCCAAACTTGCATTAAATTATTCTTAGTCTAACTTATGTCAGGGCTTGTTCGGCAGTCACAAGGGCTGGTTCAAATTTATAAGGGGCTTCTAATAAAACAACAGCTTCAAAACTGTCCAGAAACCTGGAGAGAAATGGAACTAAACCTCCTGGTACTTCATGAGCTAATTTTCCCTGTTCCCAAGTGTAACTGTACTTCATTAAAGAGGGAAAAGGAAAAGCCAAATAGGTAAGTACAGTATCACATGGATGTAGTAATGTATAAATGGTTGTGTTTCACAGTTTTTGCAAAGATTAGGTCTACAGATAGCTCTACCCTTTTTGGTAGCCATTGTCTCCATTGGTTTGGAACCATCAGAGACATGAGGCTATGAGATGGGTTCCTTGAACTTTCCTGCCTTTGCTTTGATCCATGTTCATAGCTGCTGTCACCGCACCTCACAGCAAAAACACGTGGTGTTGAAAACTACCATCATTTTCTAGCACAGGGAATTCTTTCACAGCTTCCTCTTCCCTAGCTATGAGATGGGTTCCTTGAACTTTCCTGCCTTTGCTTTGATCCATGTTCATAGCTGCTGTCACCGCACCTCACAGCAAAAACACGTGGTGTTGAAAACTACCATAATTTTCTAGCACAGGGAATTCTTTCACAGCTTCCTCCTCCCTACACCTCAGGTCTCAGGAGTCCCTGTGCAGTTCACAGGAGAGACTTTGACACAGAAATCTCTCCCCACACCCCAAGGAGGCAAGACTTTCACCTCACACTGGAAGATACATCTCTAGGAGGGAGTGCCCACACGCTGACATGGCTTGTTGCTGCAATCTTCACTATGCTAGTGAAATGGCACTCCTTTCTCCACCTCTTGCCAGGCTTCCTTTACCTTAAGTGAAATTCCTGCCAAACACAGCACCACAGCTTGTTTAAATTAAATGTGTTTTAGGACTCCTCACGGCTTCCTTTCATTTTTTGCCCCTCTTTTCTATCTCGGATGCCAACAGAGTACTTCTCCTTTTGGGGTTCCCTCCTCTTCAGAGCCGTTGGGTGCTCTTCTAGCTCTCAGCCCCCAGGCTTAGACTTGGTTACTCAATGGGGAATTACATTTGTCAATTCTAACACTTGGTGTTAAACTGTACAATTTAAAAGCAGTTATAACCTTAAGCACAATTATTTAATCACAGCATTTAGTAGATTACAGGTTCAAAAAGCTATATAAACATCAGGCTGGATTTTCAGGCTATGCCCTTGAAGGCAGGGCATGGAGGTGGCACTGCTTTCCCATTATCTTTACACCCATCGTCCATGTTAATGGAAGCAAGTAATAGCTAGAGGGGTGCTATCACTTTCTCCATCTTGCAACAATGTCTCAGGCTGTTCCTCTGTCAGCAATTGCTGGAGGGAAGAGTTCTCTAGAAAAGCCTCCACCTACTTTTGAGGTGTCTTCGCATACACCTCTATGCTAAGGATACCAGTGAGGTGCATGAATTGTCAGCTGAGCGTTCAAGACATCCTTAAAACCTGTTCCTGGAATTTGGCTGTCTGCATAGGAGGCTGCTGTGCAGAGTACATATTACTTGGGGATTAAATATCCAGTGCAGAGGTCCATGGTATTGCAACTTGCCTGCATCTGCCCTCTAAACAGCTGAATTCACATGTCTGTTTGTGGTATACTGACTTTTCCATTACCTTTCTTTGGGAACTAGAACATCTCAAAAGAAGAGTTTATGGACCATTCTTGTTTTAAAGAAACTGATGAAAACTTTCAAGTATTTTTTCCAGAGTCTTTTTCACCTTTCAAGCCAGACTGGTGGGGACTGTTCTTGTGACTCTAAGTGCAAGGCTCCTGCATGTTTTTCTTGTGGGGAAACTGAGGCAGAGTAAAGAGGCCTTACCTGCAGTTACACTGCAGGCCCGTGATGGAAATGGAAATAAAACATCTGATCCCTAGTCCATCACTCCATTTGTTAGGGCATCCTGTGTCTCACACTGTCATATTTCCCATGATGGACAATATCCCATATTTTTTCATCATTAGTAGACTGTTGCTCAGGAATAGGCCATTGTGTAACTCTTTCTGTAAGTATGCTTTCTGTCATTAATCTTCTGTGATGAAGACCTGGCACTGCTGTTAAATGTTATAGTTACCCAGGGGAACCAGCTGACTATTTACTCAGATTAATCTCCTGATTTTCAGCCAACTAATTGGTTGCAGCAGCTTCTACCTTATTTTCTCTTCTTGATTCTATTCTGACTCTTTGCTGATCTCTCCTATCACCTTCATTTCTTTCACATATTGCTTGTGAAGTTAAGGTCATCTAGCAGTGGTCTTGTCTTTGTCAAATTGTGCAATTTATTTTTTGTGAAAGTACTCAGAGTTTCCTTGCTGCGAAATCCAACAAATTCCTCTTGCCTTTTTTTTCCCCTCAGCAAATAGTGGATTTGCCAGAAATGTTCAGTTTGACCAACCCAACAGGAGGTTTAATAAACAAATTTCCCTGGGAAAAATGTCTGGGGTTATATCATCCAAACCCAAAGTGACAGGAACCCATGCCTACCTGTTTCTCAGTTGCTAGGCATCTGATCTCCAGGTGAGCCAGATTCAGCTGTTCACTTTTCTCCACAGAGGTTTAAACCCGTAACACTTCGGAGAGTGTCTTAATATTGAGGCTGGCTTCGTAAAGCTTCTGCCCAGCAAAGGACTTCCAGCAAACAGTCATGATGAAAGCATGAAACCTCCAGAAATGTGCTGTCTTTGACTGACAGCAGAATAGGAGGCCAGTTGCTCAGCTTCAGATGGGTGATAAATGCCACAGCCAATCCCTTAACACTGGCCTGTGGTACTTAGCATTTTAACATAGGCCTATAAAGCAAATGTTAATCTATTTTAGCATTTGATACATTTTGTCCTCAGCTGTTGTGATCAGAAAATGTGCAAGTGGCTTATAACAGTTTGTACTATTTAGCGTTCACTACAGCCACCAAGCTACATAGATTTGGTCCAACTAATCGTGAGAAGAGCCCTGTGGGATGGGACTGTTCACATTTCTACAAGATAGGTAAAATTTTCAGTCCAAGCATGCAGA